TTGAAAAACGCAGGTCAATGTAATGATTTCAAAGCACAGAAAAGGCACATCTTTTAGTCAAATACTGCCCTCTTATTCAGAACTTCTGACACAACTGGTACAAGGCAGAAGCAAACACAAGAGTGTGAAAATCACTGCCGTTTCATTCAAAATCTGTTGGCACAACTGGCTCCAAGGCAGAAACAGACTCAAAAGAAAATGAAAAGACAAACACGAAACAAGCAAGTGATGTCCGAGGTAACACCCCCGAAATCACCCGACTCTAACAAAACAGGACTGACTCGATACAACAAGATAGACCTGACTGACTTAGCACAAAAAGACTGACTCTATACAACACAACAAGACTGACCCAATACACAAGTTAGAAAGCAAAATTAACAGCATTTGTACATTGCTCAAAACAGTGCGTGCCAAACGCCACATCCGGAGTAAATTGAGTGCCGCCCACAGGTGGTTCATCCCCTGATCACATATTCGTACTATCCCCCAAGTTCACTGATCCAGAGGTGATAGACTTTGCTGAGCTGGTGCGGCGATGACCTTGTTGTCAAACAAATCTTGTACATCATGGCGAAGACGAAAGTAACTGACAGTGTCATGATTGGTTTGTTAATGGTAGGCACAATATTTAGTCTGGTCATGCTTTGGAGGGATAGGATCGGGTAGAGGCTGTTGTTCTAACGGTTTCAGATATCCTTTCCGGAGTAAGACCTTTAGAGCCTTTGACAAAGGCATATAAAGTGGGGTAAAAACCCTCTTAACTCGAGGTGGATATTTGGTTTTTTGTGAGCTACTTCCGGATGCACCGGTGAATGGGGTAGCTGTTCTTGATGTGGCGGTGGTGACCAAACCTACTTCAGAAGATCTTGCAGCTGCATCACCACTGGTGGTTGCATTTGAACTGCGAGAAAATGCCCTCCAGGGCTGCTCCTTTTCCTGGTCAATGAGGCCCTGCTTCATAGCGTCCTCGATCTGTACCCCCATCTCATGCAAATCTGAAAAGGTGGGGAAGGGGAGAACGATCATCTTTTGCATGAGTTTGGGCTGGAGATTGCGCACAATCATCCGAATCTAATCTTTGTCAGTGGGCCTAGTGGTCATCATTGAGGCCTTGGCCCTCCATCGGGTTACGAACTCAGAAAAGCTCTCCTTAGGCTCCTGCCTAGTCGTCTCAATATCACTGGTTGTAATCTCGATTTGTGTATTATAGGAGTACTGAGCGACAAAAGCCTCGGCCATCTCATCCCAATTCCTCTTAACATCGTCTTCTAATTTTGCATACCAGATGGCCGCTACACCCGATAGGGTCCGGCCGAATAAAGAAAGCTTCTGTATTCTGGTGAGACCCATTGGCCTTAGTATGTTTGAAAACAACTGTAGATGCACCATGGGATCCCCAGATCCGTCAAAGTGATCGATATATGGCATCTTAAATCGGTCTGTCAGCGTCACGGCTGCATCGGTGTACCCATCTTCTATATCTGGGATGAACTTGACGCCCTGAGATTTCTTGAACAACTTTTCAAGCTTGCTGACTTTTAATGCCGTAGGGTCCACCTCAAACTCGAAGGGAGAATCCGGTAGGTTGGTAGGTGTTTTGGATAGCTGGGGTAAGTTTGGAGGCGGAGCCGGCCCCGTTGGAATGTCCGTACCTTCCTGGACATTTGGTGTTTCTCTGGGTATCGGAACCCTTGGTGGGGGAGGAGCTTGATGCGAAGCAGAGGCTCCGTTTTGCTGTTGCAGCCTGGTGATTAGCTCTGCCTGTTGGGCCATGATCGCAGCCTGCTGTTTGGCAAATTCTGCTTGGCGGACAGCGTCCTGTTGCATGATTTTCATACTTTCTTGGAGTTGACGCATCATTTCCTACATTCTTGCCATAGACTGTTGGTTTATCTGGACAACCGATATATCTATCCCTGCAATAGAAACTAAGACCTCAGCCTAACTGTTCACTGGTGCGGTGGATAAGGGCCACTGATCTGGTAACTGCTGAATTGGTGATCTGTGCCTGACTAGCCCTTTTACCCTGCCTCTGGCAAAGGAACACTGACTGCCCTTGAACTGAATCTCTGACTTGACAAAGTCTATTAGTACAAGTCCGATAAACCTCGGGGGATATTGGAGCCTTTTGAAGCTATGGTTCCAGAACTACCCTAGCAAAAGAGAAAACAGAGAGCATCTCAGCCTGATTTCACTAGGACGGACATGAGCATAGCTGAATGACTGTACTCTTTATTGAATTCTACCCAAAATTCTGCCTGTAAACTGATACCCTCAGGTAAAACTGATCCCCAAATATTGGTGTCCTCAGGCCTGATACTCAGACTTGCAAACTGATACGTGTATTCCCTGTAGAGACACACTCTAAAAGCACATAACAAGCAAATGAAAGCCAAAACACCCCTACATTGGGGTAGGGTTTCCCTGTCCTATTTTGTCAGGAGCTAGGGTTTCATTACGCACACAGCGGTTTCAAAAAACCTATAATCAGGTAAGCAACCTATCCTAGCTTGGAATGGTCACTATGGATTCCGAATATGCACTAGGTCGAATGGTCAAAAGGGTGCCCTGGTGAAAACCAGGGTTTGTGTTCCTGTCATGGCAGAGCCCGCAACCGGTCAACCTTATGGCACGTTTCTTGAAGCGAGCCTCCGGCAAACCATTCAGGAATAGCATACGGCAAACACGGTGTCTTAGGCACACCAATACAAATGCAATGCAAAGAAACACATAAGTGTGAACAAAACAAGATATCATGAGTTCGAGTCAAGTTCTCTAACTCCCCAGCAGAGTCGCCAGAAACTATAGACGTCCCCGAACGTCCCGGGGGAAATCCCCTCCCGTTCTGTTCATTTGGGCTCACTACAGTTCAGGACTCAATATCACGGTCTTATATCTAATCTCACAGAGTGCAATGCAAGACCGATGAATCATCAAAGAGTCCAAGTCTGGCAAATCGTTTTGAAAATAGATTTTTAGAAAGAAGTGCCAAACATGGACTGCTTTGCCAGATATAGAGTCGCCACCTAAATTTTTTATTTTGGGAGAATTTAGGAAACCCTGACTCATGCCTAAGGCCACGTGTCCGTCATCACCAAAGTTACCTCGGCTCGGGAACTTGGGTACGATTGGGGAAGGTCAACTATGAGCATCCCTGCTCGCCCGATCAAAGATCGGCCACTACTAAACATGATATCTTGTTTTTTTGAAAACAAATGTGTTCTTATTTCGGTTAATTAGCTAGAATTACTATGTGATGCGCATAGCAAAACAAGTATAGACTAGATCGCCTAATTTGGAACAAAGCATTAAAAATTCGTTTGTTCGGAAAAATGGTTTGAGTTTTGCTACTCGCAAGTAGGCTAAAATACGGATTTCAATGAATTCTCCCAATTCAAGAAATCCAACCTTCACCCACAGGCATTCAGGCAGTTATATCACATACGCAAATAGCCTTATGGTAAGCATGCTGTCATGGCAACACTCACACACATGCAAGGATGCTAAAGCGTAAATGCTTACCTAGTACTCCAAGCCAAAACAGAAACTAGTTAGTAATCAAATGCATGATCCTAGTTCATGTTAAGATGGCTAATGCAACACATGCAAAATGCAACTAGAAATAGGCTCGGCTATTCTAAGATGTCATGTGAAATGCAACTTGATACATGTATTCAAATTGGAATTGAAATACAATGCAGTTAGCATGATGTGCTGAGCCCAGTGCATGCAATACGAATGAATGTGTGCAAACATGCTATCATAAGTATGTTAATTGAAACATGTCCTAAACTAACCATCAAAAGCTAGTAAATAAAAAGGAGAAAGACGTGGGGTTGGAAGACATTCACACACGCACGCACACTTATTACAAATTCGCCCTCTCGACGAAGGGTCCGAATAAATAACACAAACTGAATAAATAATTAACTATCCTAGCTAATTACATATTACAAAAGCCTAATCAATTAAAAAAATAATTACAAAAGGAGGTGGTCGCAACCTCGCTTCGGAATGCTTGAATGATGCATGCTCGATTGCCTCGCTCGGAAACCCATTGCCATGCCACTATTGCCTCTGTTTGCACTATTCTGCACCCCTGAGAACTGTGGAAATATTCTTGATGCTTCTGAACCACTCCCTGATCATTTTGGGATGCCACCGGCCAAGGTAAAGATTCACCGGCCATTGATAAATGGTCATCGACCAGTTGTGAAGCCATCGGCCAGATATTTTGGTCGGTCGGCACTGTATGTAGTCAGTCGGCCAAATATTCCTGCAGAATCCTGTTTTGACAACAGCAGAGGACAGACAGTGCATGGCAAGGAAATTTCAAAGCAATGTGTGCATGGCCACTTTCCCTATCATTCTATAGACTCAAGGGAGTGTGGCCCTCGGTCCTCGAGCCACCGACCACGCATTTCGATGCATGATGGCCAAAGGCACCAAGCTTGCAAATCAATGTAAATGAATGCAACAAACGAGTGAATGCTTCACGCCCTATCATGTTGAGATTGAGGGCGTTGGCGACTGAGGATTGAGACGTGTTTCGTCACTTTGAGTACGAACACACCTCATAACATTAATGCCCTTCTATAGTAAATCATGCCAAACACTGTAATTCCAGCCATGATAATGGACACTATTAGAATATGAAGTAAATATCTATGTCGTGTACACTTTCCAAAGGATGCTGAAATTGAAAATAAACAAAGTTTTCACATAAGATTCAGGGAGTAATATGAATAAGCATAAACTGAATCTAACCTATCCTAGCTAAAGTTTGGCCTTGATAAGATGCCCAAAACCGAAGCACCAAGGAAGCAAACACAAACCCACTTATCCTGAGCCCAATGGCCTACAACCAACATCGCATTTTTTTAAGAAAAAAAATCAAGGATTCTAATGTTCTTCCTTCAAGACAAAAAGGAATAATGTAGTCTAATTATCTATGTTCATTAGAAATACATAAAATTATGTTCTACCAATAAACAAACGTAGATTGAAAATTTTGAAAATAGTGAGATTGAAAAACAAAAAGATCAAAGTGAATGAGATTCTATTGAAAAGAGAGCAGACCAAAAATAACAAGTGAAAAGATTAAAAAGAGTAAAATTCGACTGAAGAGAGGCCAGATCGAAGATCTGATGGAGCAATAGAGAGAGAGAGAGAGAGAGAGAGAGAGGACCTGAGGGATAGTAGCGACGGGAGGACCAGACCTGAGGAGGAGCTTCAACAGGCAGAGGGCATCCAACGCCATCAATTAGCAAAATTTACCAACCTCTCAATACAAAATAGGCGATTCAGAACAGTCTAATCCACACCTGTTCGAGTGTTCGAGCTTTCCTTGGAACAGAAAAGCCTATCATTTCATCGGCTGGGTTCCACTTGCTCCGACTCAATCGGTCTCGGTCCCGGTCCCTGTCTTGATCCCGATGATTTTGATCCTTCTTCACTCCTCGGTCTCGCAACCCCGCTGATTTGTGCAACTCAACCGAACCATCTTCCTCTGCAAAGTCATTAGAATCAGAATCAAGAAAAACAAAACCATCAAGAAATTTCAACAAAATGAATGCAAGAATCAGTGGATTTAGAATTAGATCTGAACAAGTGATCGGAATCAACCTTGGTGCATCTCTCAAGGACCATGAGGAGACAGAGAAAACCCTAGATCTAGGATGAAGAGAGAAAAAGATAGAGAGAAATGGAGAGAGAAAACAAAATGACGGAAAGAGAAATGGGAACAGAGGGAGACGGAGCACCGTTTAAAGGGGACACGCGTGTCTTAATTTCACTTTTTTATCTTCCACAGCGTTTTTCAAATAAACGTTGTCTAAAAAACGTGGTTATAAACCAATTTTGTTGTAGTGTCTTTAAATGAGCAGAAAGTCTTAGAGACTTTAGGTCAGACCTTAATTAGCCAAAGTAAGGAAACATGACTCAACGTCGGCGTGGTTTTGTTGCCTTGTTTAGCGCAATAAAAATTGATGTGTGCATTATGATTAGCGGCATGCTAAGTAGTTTTGTTTGGTGAGTTTGGAGTTGTGGGATTTATAAGCCCTCAATAGATCTAGATGTGATCCTGACTATTGAGCTGCACGGATTGACTTTGTAATTTGACTTTTAATAATGTTGCATCATTGGATGAAGCAATATCCAAGAGTTACATCATCCAAGATATGTGAGCTTAATGAGTTAGTCATTAAGTGTAAGACAAGTGGCCAGTATGAGCATTGTTTTGCTCTCTACCCAATTGATGGGAGTTGATGGAGCAAAATTTCACGCACCATAATAGTGTATGTTGAAGCATCACTTAAAGTTAAGAGATTTGTGCTTAGAACCTGCAAAATCTATTAACACGAAGTGAGAAGATTAGCGCCTAGCGACTGCAAAATCTAATAGCACTGTCAACTTGTCTAAGTCTGGACACTTCTTGTCTCCACACTTGAGTGTGAGACATGATGAGATACTTCTTTGTATGATTCCTTAGCTAGGCTAACGCTATTGAATGGCATTTACCACTAAACACAAATGTTGCAGGATAGTAATGAAAATGTCAAGGCTGACAAGGTTGTTATGACTCTAAGAATTTGACACATCGCTCGTGAGAGCCTTGTATTGAATTAGACTTTTTATCCTAATTCACGCTTAAGTTGCTTCAGGAGTTGTCATAGATTGATAGCTTATTCTCACATTCTTATGGATAGTAGAATTAATTGCAACTAAGGTGCTTTAGAAGTTGTCATAGATTGATAGTTTATTCTTTCATTCCTGTGGATAATAGAATTAATGGCAACTAAGTTGCTTTAGGAGCTGTCATAGATTAATAGCTTATTCTCTTATTCTTGTGGATAGTAGAATTAATTGCAGCTAACTATGAAGCGAGAAACAGAGATGGCAAGAGGAGTATTGTTATGTTTCAACTAGATGTAGTAAAGTGTATGCAGAATAAAATTGACTTGATGGTGTAGGGGATAAGCACTTACTGGTTAAATTTGCAACTTAGGCGCACTTCATATCGCTATGACATCCTTTTTATGATCTATTGAACATTAGTTAGTCATGAGTCATTACCTAGTTGGGCCTAAACCTTTACACTTGTCTTCAAGAACTCACACATTAGGCTGATTGGAATTAGTTTATAACATTGGTCATAAACTGGTGGCTTGTTGTACTTAATCAAATTAATGAGAAAATGACATGGATGGTTTGAGTAGGCTCTTTCGGGCCCACTCGCTTTTGGCATCTTGCTCTCATGTGAATATATAACTTTGTTCGCAATGGTTGCACATAAGTAAGTAAGAAAGCTGCATAAGGGTATTTGTATTAGCTCATTTAGTCCACTATGATATTTGTGACTAGATATGTGTAAGGGTATGATAGCTAGCCCCAATCTTGACACATTTATAGATTACAATACAAATCTTAGTCAAGACTATTTGATCTCCCACAAGTCAAAGGTTTTGAGATGATTTTTGACGTTGCACATATGAGATCGAGATCAATTAGATAAGTGCTTTGGTGCTTTTAGTTTTGATCGAGGTGGCGAGTATCTATTTGAGTTATTTTTTAGAAAACTCTGTGAAGAGAAAAGGATGCTTAGAAAATTGATTATTCCTAGTACTCAGCAATACAATGGTGTGATAGAGATAAAGAATTAAGTATTGTTTATGTTAGGTGGATGATGGCACAATATGTTTCCTAATTGGGAATTGTACTTTAGTTTGTTGCCTATGTCCCTAACTAAGTGCCCTCCATATCAGATTTTAAACTCCATTTGAGTAATGGGTTAGCGGAGAGCTAATTGTGGGCAATCTGTAACCATCAAGCAACTTATCTTTATTTTACTTCTTATAAGGTTGCAAAGTTAAGACCTAGAGTTCTATGATGCATTATTGTATGCTATCTTGTAAACGCTTAGGGTCATGTGGCGCATTATTGTATGCTATCATATAAACCCTCTGGGTCATGTGCTTATAAGTGAGCAACTTTGTGAGAGTGTAACTAAGTCACATAAATTTTTTTTAGCAAAGGTGACGTGAATAGAGTTTTGGAACTCTATAAGATAGAGAATGCTAAGTATGGCGCTTTATGTAGCCAAGTTTAGAATAGAAAGAAATTTCCAATATCCTAGGGACAGTGGGAGCGATGTGCCTACTAGTGGATTACTGCATCAGACAAGAATACTCTACATTCTTAATTGCGTGGCTGCAAATGTGAAAATTTTCCACATCATCACTAGGTGATTGAGAGGGAAACATTCATGATTGCACCTCAAGATGATAAGGAGCCTACGATAATGCCAAAGGCTCTCTAGTCTCCTATTTTTGGAAAATGGATCAAAGTTGCATATTCTAAGGCAAAGTTTTTGAGGATTAACCATTTCTTGGATTTGGTTGACTTTCCACTATGGCACCAAACTTTTCTAAAGTTATACGGGATTTGGATAGTCATTTTTTGAGGCATAAGGCTCACTAGATACTGAAAAGCTGCACCATTGAGGAAGGTGTAGATCATGAGAAGACTTCCTCTTGGGGAGTGAAGTTACTTTGACTTAGGTTAAGATTAACATGAGTTCGGAACTTTGATTTGTGGACGTTGTGACCCAACTTCTCGTTAGAGAATTGGATAAGTAGATTCGTAGGGATTTACCTTTTGCTTTTATGGTGAAAAGTTAGGAGCGCAAAAAGATTACTAGTTCTAATAAATCTTTTTCAGCTTAAAACAGTTATCCAAATAGTGGTTCTTAGATTTCGTCGAGCCATGATAGGCCAACGATGATCGATAAAGACCACTGAGGCATGATCAATGGTCCAAAAGAAGTTTTGCCTTACTTACTCGTTATGAGCCGGGAATTTACAAGGTTGTCACCACCTAGGGTTGGCAATCCTCTGTTTTAGACATGATGGACTAGGGTGATGTAATTTATATGCTCGGATATATGATCCTTAGAGATTGTTCTAGGAGAATTCTCGATTTGTTTATGATAACTTACATAAGGAATATCCTAGAATGATTCTAGATACGAAATTTCAAACCCATGAACTTACCTATCGGTAAAAGCTAAAGCCTTAGCTATTGAGTGAATCCTCGGATTGTCTTTGAGAGAAACAAATGACCCATATTCCTTGATCTTTTGTTATGGGATCTTGAAGTACGCTATGTGGGCGTATTCGACATGATGAATGCTATCTTTTGTAAATGGTTAACTGAGTAGTTTAGAACTTGACCTTACTCATTAGGCTGTGGATATGATGCTTTATTGGTAGTGTATAAATTTGCCCTTTGTAAGATTCAATGTGCTTGTTGGGCTCATCTTGAATGAATGCAAATTGGTCACAAAAATATATTTAGAGAGGTAATTGCGCAAGAAATAATGATCTTGAACCACTTCATGTGAAGCGCACATGGTGGATTCTGTTATGTATGCTTATTGCAAGAGGTGCTGATAGGGCTTATGTTTGGAATCTAGAATTGCGCAGACTGTGGTTATGTTTTTTCAATAGATCACTTATTTTTTTTGTGAGATTAGGGAATATTGAAGCTATTATGGTTTGTGTTATAATGATTACCAGATGATGATATTAGCAAGAATGATTGGCTTACTCACACGAGCAATAGCCTTTGGTGCTTAGGAGCGAGCAAGGATGAGACTAGTGGTTTATTTTATTTGGAGCCAAGAGACGCTTAAATTATCCACTATGTGTGTTTCCTTGGTTACAACCAAGATGAGGTCGTGTTAAAGACCAAACATGGATGTTAGTACCCACTTTCTGTGTTGTTCCTGTTATGATTAGCCAAGTGCGAGATCTTATTTGGTGCCTGGAAAACGAGTAGATAGAGAATTCATGTTAGGCTTTAGAAAGCAACTAGACTAAGATCTGTACGGTGTATCAAGCATGATGTCACTCTTTGGAAGAGTTACTCTATCGTAGCATGTACTCATACTACATGTGCTTGGTGACCGAGTAATGAGGTGAGAGAATGGATCCCTGTTTCCTCACCCTGTAAGTCTTACGTGTCATTATTTATATGACTTTTACTTATCTACCCTTTTGTGACCTTTGACTATGTTATAAGGTAAGGGGTTGATGTTCTGCTAATTTGGTATGTTGCTTGCGGCCATGAATGATTCGACCTTAAAGGACATCATTGGGAAAGCGGTCAATCCTAAACTAAATGGCATGGGGGCAAAGGGAATATCATCTAGTATTAGACCACTATTGTATATTCACTGCCAGCAACTCACATCACTTTGTATGAGAGGCGGATTGAGTGTGAATAAATTGCAAGAATTGAGAGGGTCAAGCATGCTCTTTTGAAGGATTAGAGATGTTTTTTAGACTGATGTGATTAGATGAGTTTGGAGTATATGAGACACTATTTTTGTTTTCGGGTTGATGCCTTTATGCTGGCTTTTTTTGAGTTTCTAGTGTAGAGCTCCCACATACACGTGTTCTCAGTGGTTGCCCGGTCCATTGGCTAGTATGATTGCGTTTATTGGGTAAATTGAGATACAAAAGGTGTGGTGTCATGTAAGTGCATGTTCTAGTGGGAGATGTTGGAAATTGGGTCAGGTTTAGAACCCAAGCCTAATTGGGTCGCCCATGGTGGCATGACCCGATTAGGAGAGATCCAAATAATCTTAATAGATTATATGTCAAGATATGAGATAATCTTGATATGAGATGATCTTGATATGGATAATTGTCAACACATTAGATGTTAATTATTTTTTAGTTATTGTTGATATGAGATATTGGGG